TTTTTCAAATTTAAAGTTCTTTCACTTTCACACAATGGTTAGGTTTTATTTTTTCTTTCTTTTCTTAAAATTGTTTAACAAATCAGTTTATAAACTGCTAAATTCTTCTTCATAGTTTAAAACCAAATTAAAAAAAAATAAAAATTTAGCAACAGATTCAAAACATGCCCAACCATAAATGAGATACAACTGTATGGTATTTTTAATCAGCAAGTAATGAGTGTGTATGTGTCTGTTTATACTTTCACCAGGAAGAAACAAATTTTTGTTTGTAGCAAAGTACATTTTATGCAAGGAGTACACAACAGTTAAAATAGGACCCCAATATGTTGTCATCAGCATAAAAAAAATTAATACAACATTTGAGATAGTTTCAATAAATAGGAGCAAAATCAAGAGGGACACAAAATCAAAACAAGGAAAAGTTAAACTAAGCTGAGCACTAATGGAAAAAAATGTCAATAGAAAGAATGAGACAAGAAAGGAGAGTATCAACCACCAAGTGCTGATTCTACTCATCTCCATTGCTCTACTTTTCTGTTAGGGATTAGAGTGTAGTATCTGCCCAATCCTGGCCTTTCTAAGCTAGAATCTGCTATTCTCACAAGAAACCTATATAATAATTTTGAGAGGGGAAGGAATTGGGGAAAGCAATAAAAGGAAGAAGATGTAAAGGAGGAAATCTTGGTGTTAAGAAGGCTAGAGAAAAACAGAAAGAAAATATATATCTGTACATCTAGAGAGAGGGAGAAGGGATGACAACAAATGACAGTCAACAAGAGAGAAGCATAATGGCTGGATATCAAGACACAAGAAGTGAAAGACTGAAAAGTAGGTAGGGATGAAAAGGTATAAAAATCCCAATCCATTAACATTCATTATAGAGATAGAGTAAAAAAAGGATAAAAGAAAGGATGCAGTAGAAAATATGCATTCTTTATTCATTTTTCATGCAGGAAACTAACCCAACTTTGTATGACATAAAACAGGGACAGGGCAAGAAATACTGAAAGGAAAAAGGGAAAGAATGAGAAGATACAGTCAAAGAATGAAAGAAGAGTAAGAAATGATAAATACTCCATTAATGACTACTGTAAAATTTGGAATTAAATTGCAATCACATATCCTGTGACCCATTGGGGTCATAGGGGCACCACATGTACTGCAGCCACAGTAGAAGTGGTATTTTGGGGCAAGATAGCCTGATAAAGCCCAGCCCTCTCCATGCCAGTTTTTGAATTCAGAGTTGTCCTTCTCCTAGACCAGTTGCCACCCTAGTCTGTCCTGCTATTTTACCCATAGCTGGGTGGAGAAGAAGAGGATTCATATCTTTTCCCAAGAGTATTAGCACATAAATGAATGTAATGGATCTGACTGGAATTCAAACTCGGTTCTCCAATTTCTCAATATGAGCAGTTATCCATTACTCTACCAGGTTTCCTGAATTAAATATGAAAACTAAAATAAAGATCTGGTATTAATTATAGGTTTATAAAAATAAACTGTGTTAATTATAGATTTCTACCTATAATCCATTAATGCCCACTGTCCTATTTTTGGAACAGTCAACATCAATAGGTTAAACAAACCCGACAATCTATGCTTGCAAATTAAATAATATTCCATCATATCCATTTGAAACTAATATATCACTTATCCATATTATATTTACTAACCTTAGTCAAATAAGTCATGGTCAAATAGAGAACTATTTGAGATAAATGTATAGCCAACCTCCTCACTCTTAGCTAGACTTAAACTCCAACATCTGGCACCAGTAGAAAACTCTTGACATTTATTAAGCTTAGTATGGCACAAAGCCGAGGAAGGAGAAATGGATAAAGATGATTTTTTTTTTACCAATCTTTCAAGATGAGAGAGACTTACTGCTTTGCAAAACAACATTTGAAACTGTTCTTTGTTTACCAGAATTTAAACACTGACCTCTGACACCAACAAGAAATTAATGTCTCATGCACGAGATGGGTTTTACAAAATGATCTGTAGGAGTCTAAGAGATATAAACAGTGGAACCTCTCCACAAAAAACACAAGAGATTGCTGAAAAGTTCTCAGCCTGACCAAAATAAAAAAATAAAATTCTGAGGTTTGGTTATTTGGTCAGCTTTTGGGAAGGGAGTAAGGCTGAGAATTTTTTTGTACATCACGTACCTTGCCATAGTCTAATAATTTATAAGCTGGTCTTGCAAACCATTACTACTGACTAAACATTTTAACTTTCAATGCATGCTCTATATTTGTGGCCTTGTGCCAGAATCAAACTAGGTTTAGTAAATAACTATATGTATAATTTATTATATTATGGACATACAAATGTATCCAGTAACCAAAAAATATTTAACTGTCTTCAGTTTTTATTTTTCAAAATAGCACTACTGGGAACCTTTTCATATACCAAATAGAAGACATTATGAAAAATGACAAATCTACAATTTTATGACAAATGTAAATCGTAAGAAAAGATTCTCTTCTAAATTTTTCTAAATAATTTTTAGAATGTTTGTTAGTTACTCCAAGAGAAATGAGCAAATATTTTGAAGACAACAAATCCTTTGTGACAATACAGGATGCAAAATAAAGTGGACATAAAGAGGTGAGGAAATAGAAATATCAACAGCAAAATGCACATACCAATTATAAAATTCCGACAACACACAGAGAACATTTTCCCACGGTGAAGGATATGGAAGTAATATTCAGAACAATAGAGAATGTCAACTGAGAAAACTTAATTTGACAATTGTGTGAATAATGAATTACAAGTGTAGATCGAGTGTCTTATGGGTACAGGAGAAGTATCCAGACCCTCTCATCTTCATGACAAAGAACTTTTTTTTTAAATGTTCATAAATTTATAAAAAAAAAAAAAAAAAAAAAAAAAAATCAACAAAGTAATCATAAATTAACCTTAAAAACTATAACTTTCTTTTTCATTTAACAAGTCTTCTATCTTATTTTTTTAATATTTTTTTTTACTCTACTCTTGTCAATTCTAGTACTAAAATGCTATGACTCAAATATAAATAAATTTTTTTTCACTTTGTACCTTATCCTGCCTAAAAGCCTGAATTTGCCTCTGAAGGAATTATTTTGATTCCTCCAAGTCAGCCACAAACTAAAGAATGAGTTATGCAGAAAGAGATACTGTTTTCTTTTTCTTTTAAATATTTGTTGACCAAAGTAACCTTTGGCAAAAAGCTAGATTAATTTGGAAGCTTGAGAAATGAACTTCCTATCTAGTGCTTAAGAGACTAGTATACTAACTTTATAATTATAATGTAAGAACATTATCACCTCTCCTGTTTCACCTTTCAGTCGATTTCTTTTTGGTTAGTAAATGTTACCTCCAATACTAAATAATCGTTCACTTTCAACAGAAGAGGGAAGTGCTGATAGATATTTCCTGGCTAAAAGTGCCATGATGAGAAATGCATTTTTATTTGAATTCCACCACTGAAAAATATTATCAGCACCTTTTATATTTTTTAATGCAATATATTTTGCCATTTCAAAAGAGAGTCCAGTAGAACAACATGAATTCATTTTATGTTTATATTACATAATTTTGATTATAATTATTAGATTAATAATTTATAATATTAAATGGGTGAATTAACAATGTTTAAAAAGAGATTAAAAATAAAAATTTTATTTTAAACTGAAACAGACCTTAAACTAACAAGCTTTATGGAAAGTTTGAGAACTGAGTAGAAACTTGTACATTGTTTTGTTTTTTTAACTAAAGTAAAATAAATTTACATCATACTTAGGAGTTATTATGATCTGTAGATTTTAGTAGTACTGATAGTTTAAAATCAATAAATATTTATATGTTTTTATCATTAATTACCAGGAATAGAAAATTAAGTTTTAAACAAAAAAAATAAAAAATAAAAAGAATTGTTCTTGAAATCAAAAATTAGGTTAAAAATTCTGATTCCAATACCCCAAAAGATTAATCATTCCATCACTTATATATATAAGATGAAAAGGTACTAAAACCATATACAGGAAGTAAGCAATTGCCAAATTTACTATATAACATGTAATATGGAAGGAAATACAGCAAATATTAATAATTAAACATTTAACATTTACCTATCTTCTAGAAAATACTGAATTCAGAGATATTCTGAGAGAGTATAAAGGGTACATTTTGACATACCTTTAAAGAAGAATTTGTAATTACCCACTCTTAATAATTCAAAAATGCCACTATATAATTGTTATCTGGTCACAGCCACATGTGAACATTATTCACAGAGTTATAAATGAATGGAAAACACGATAAAAATATTTGTGCTTAAATTTGGAATTAGATGAGTTTGCTGCTGAATTTTATTGTTTACTTCAAATGCATTTTGAAGGTGGAAAGAAAAGAATTCATCAGATCAGAAATTAATGTAAGCATTACCTGAGAGAATAAGAGAAATATATATATATATATATATATATATATAAAAAACACTTCGGTAAACACCATTTTTTATTTATGGCAATCATTGAAAAATATCAAAACCAATAATTTACATTTTGTATGTAGAGAACTAAAAAGTAAATAGATTTTCATTCATAGGAATGTGTAGAGAGAATTCTGGTAGAAAAAATATATATATATATATATATATATATATATATATATATATATATACTAGAACAATGTTAGGAAAATCAATGACAAAGTGGAAAAAATTTTTCATGTGACACATTTCATCCTTTAGGACTTCATCAAACTAAAATAATGTTTGTGTCCATGCAACTACACATATGCATAAAGAAAACTTAGAAGATTAAAATTTCATGCATACAAAGGAAATTTTAGAAATTAAAATTTTCAGCAGTCCTTCTCCTTTGTGCACATCAACATAAACATCACTTTAGTCCAATGTCAGGCAAATTGTGTTATAGAGCTATTTCTATTTTAGTCAAGTATAAATGTTTATATATAAAACATTTATCAATATATATAAAAAAAATTACCTTCAAATGTAAGAGAAGAAGGTTTGTCAGTCATGGCATTGAAAACTTTGACATTTCTCTCACAAGGCTAAAAAATAAAAACACAAAATATCAGTTATATAACAACAGGAGAAAATGGAAAATATAACATTCATCAAAATTAATTCTCATTTCATATGCAGATATTTCAGTATTATGGATTTTACAAGAACTAAAATGTTAAGTAAAAGTCTTTAACTACTAAAATCAGTTACTATTCAAAAAATGAGTTTACAGTCACTATAATCACTAATTTGACATGTGTCTTTCTTCTAAACAAATTCAAATCTTCAAAGTACATGCTTTAATTAGTTTATATGGGTATTTTTTTTTAATTAGATAAAATAGAATTATCTAAAGTTTCTTCAGTCACTTTCTAATATGACTAACCCACTCGACACAAAAACTATATATTAATCAATATTCTAACCAAGTCATTTCCTGACAGAATTAGCATCAAATTTTTACAATCTTGTTATAAAAGTTTTCCTGCCATTTGCTTGCTGAATGAAACAAGTGAAATTGTTTCTTCTATACAAGTAAATGAATGTTTGAACAGATGCACAATTCTGTGACATACAACACTTTCATACAAATAAACCTGTCAGCTGTTGACAAAATTTCCAGACAACTCCACAAGAGCAGAAAAATATGATTAAAATTGATTTAAACTATTGAGGGAATTGAATAGGAAAATCAAAGAGAAAAAAAACATTGTGCTGAAAAAGAACAGCACTTACCATGAAATCCTCATGATTTACATCGCTGAAAAGAAAAGGTAAAGTATTAAATGGGAGAATTCAGTTAAAATATTTTAGTGCCTTAATCAACTGATACTTTCATTAATTAAAAGGTAACACTCAAATCATATTTCCAAAATTCTAGTTTCCAAAGAATAAGTAAAAAGCTGATAATACAAATGCAGAAAGTATGTCAAACAAAAGGTCTGTTAAAGGGTTACAAAGCACCTGTCTATATATGAGGAGGGGCTGAAAAGTTCTCAGTACACCTCACTTCCCATTGTCAGTATTCTGATTGATGCAAATATTGTGTATTTAGGTAGCAAATGTTCTTTAAGACAATTTAAAAAATAAAAAAAAAAAATAAAAAAAGAGAGACATTTTCTATTGATTCATTTTACTGACTTTTTCAAATTATTAATAATCCTTCTCAGAAAAGTTCATTTTAGAAAAAAAAAAAGTACCAAAAATATACTTTGCACAATTTCTGATGAAATTCCCTCCTTGTCTGAAAACAATTATTCATAAATTGGAAAAGTCAATCAGTAAAATTAATCAATGCAAAATGTCTTATATATATATATATATATATATATATATATATATATATATATATTTATTTTCAGACATTTTTTTTATGTTTATACATTCTTTTTATAGATACAAATATTTAAGTAAATGCTCTGTTTATAATAAACAGTATTAACAAGATTTACCAGCCTGAATGGCTGAGAAATTTTCATAGAAAATATGCGTCCTCTGACAGGAATCGAACCTGTATCCTATACAGAACAATCATACAGCCTGACATGCCTTAACTGATTAGGCCACAGAGTAGCATTCGGTTATATGACGGTTCCATATAGTATACAGGTTTGATTCCTGTCTGAGGACGCATATTTTCTATGAAAATTTCTGACCTTCAGGCCAGTAAATGTTGTTAATACTGTTTATTAAACAGAGCATTTACTTAAATATTTGTATCTATAAAAAAAACGTATAAAAATAAAAAATGTCTTAAAAAATAATTGTCGGACTTTGTCCATTTCAAAATATATATATATTATAAATTAATTGATTTAAAATATGTTTTTTTTGGAAAAAAACATATTTTAAATCAATTAATTTATAATATTAATGCTCTGTAAATTTACATTGAGCACTATTTTGTAAAAATAAAAATACCTATAAGAACACCGGATTATATATCTTACTCTTCTTTCTTTTTATATATATATATATATATATACACACATATACACACACTTAAAATAAAAATACACTTATTCTTCACCATTCAGTACATCTGAGTTTTATTTTACACTTGCTACATGAAACCCAGAGTTGCACAAAATCTTGAGGGACAAATGTATCTTTATTCTTAGTATAAATTTTAGCTCTGTTATTTTATATCAAGCACTGTTTTATTATCACCAGCACTCACTGTCTCACTGAAAAACAGAACAAATGGTTACTAAGCTTAACATTACAATGAACATAAGAGCATTATGAAAACATTGTTCAGTTTTGGCTATTTCTTTAGAGAAAAATTATAGAACGATAAAACCAATGGGATTGTTATAATAATTAGACTCATTATTTGGCATTAAATAATGGACATATCATAAACTACTCATGTACAAAGTCTTCTTATGCTCTTTCATTCGTAGTAACCTCTCTTGTGTCTTAGTAACATTATCGCTTTGCTTGGGGGGGGGGGGGTGAAAGGATTAAAAAGAAAAATATGATGCCCCCACCACCACACACATATATATATATATATATATATATATATATATATATACATACACCTAAACCAATTTTGGAATGTTACAGTATTTTCTTTTATTTGAGAAGATGAACTGTGAGTAACTCTTGCTGATTATTTCAAAGGCTCAAAAGAATCAGATTTTCAAAATAGCTTTCAATATTGTCTTAAAACTGATAGGAGGTTGTTGATGTAGGGGAGAATACCGATAAATGCTTGAGCCATTGATTTAGAAACTAAAAAGCCAGAGGTTATTACAAGGAATTGACAAATGACTAACCTGAATTCATTATGATAAAGATGCTGTCCTTTTGTTTCCTCAGGAAACTGAAATAAATAAAAGATTTAAAATGTTAAAAAATGTAAAACATCTAAAGCATATAGAAATCATTTAATGAAACAATTTATTTGTGTAAAAGCCATTCCAGACCACTTCAAACAAAAGGTTAGGAAGGAAGGCCTCCCCCCCCCACAAATCAATACTGGAAAGAGTAATAACAATAAGCAGACTTGAGAAATTTATTTTCCTGAAAAAAAAAAAAAAAATCGTTTTAAGAGAAAGATTTTTATAAATTTCAACCAAAATTCTTCAATAAACAAAAATCAGTCAATTTTAACAATTGCTTTTTCAAACTGCACATATATTAATTTGTAATCCTTTTGAATGAAGTTAAAACAACACTTCTAATCGTATCTAAAGATGAAAACAGAATTTATTTTCTTTAGGATACATTGATATGTATTTACAGCTTTCCACTGATAAATCAGAGGAGAGCTGAATTCAAATTCCAGTCAGGTTCGTTACAATCACTTACACATTAATAACTTTGGAAAGTGGGTATGGATCCATCTATACTCCCCCAATTATGGGTTGAATAATAGGATAGAGTGGGTTCTATAACCTTGGTAGGCAACCAGTTTGTTGCAAAAAGAAATGGTAACCTAATGCAAGAAAATCTTCTGCTTAATCAGTCCTGAATCAAAAGAGGCATGATCGCCCAAGCATGTATCACGTATGGCATTTAACTGAGTAACCGACACAAATTAATGAAAAATATAATCTCCAGGTTTACTTTTTATTTTATCTTTTCTATAATGCATAGTAGCTTTTAATGGGTTTATCCCTTGTTTCTTGTTTAAGATTGGGTTTCCAGTTTCTTCTAATGTCTTTTCATTCTCTTTCACTCCCAGTAGCCATTTGCGTCTTAGTGGCATTATTGCCTTGCTTGATTTAAAAAAATACTTTCAGAACTGAGTGACAATTCTATAAGCATTTAAAAATGTACAATTTTTTTTAAGTTTATGAAAATGTTTTCTCAGTAACAATCAAACTATAATCTTACTAAATACAGCAAGAATGAAGATTAATAAACTGATAAAATAAACAAATACTATTAAAAATATTTAGGGTCTGGAAGACAAGAATTTTGACTAAATGTCGAGTGAGTAAGTTAAATGTTTAAATGTAGACAATTGAAAATTACAAATTTTTAGTCAAATAGTACAACAAAATACAAGAATAAAAATGACATACATTTCAATCTATATATGCACTAAATGTAAATTCAAATTGTATACAAACTGAAACCATGGAAATTCTAAGGGTAACTAAAATTATCCATTATTTCATGCCTCTGTTTTCTCACATTTTGCTTATATATTCTCATTCTCTCCATTATCCTTTCCACTGTTTCTTGCCCATCCTTGTTTTTATCCATTATACCAACATGGATTTAGTGTCATATATGAAAAAAAAAAAAAAAAAAAAAAAAAAGGAATGAATGCAAAAATCTTTTCTACTGTGCCTGCACGTTTATGTTTCTATGTATTTATTCCTTTGCATCATTACCTGACATTCAACCTTTCTTTCATTGTCTCTGTTTATTCAACTTGCAAGGTTGTCTCTTATTGTCTTTTTTTTTGTTGCCATATCTCTCTGTATGTGTATGTGTGTGTGTATATATATATATATATATATATATATATATATATATAAATAAAAAAAAGAACAGTAAGATATATAATCCAGTGTTCTTATAGGTATTTTATTTTTACAAAATAGTGCTCAATGTAAATTTACAGAGCATTAATATTATAAATTAATTGATTTAAAATATGTTTTTTTTCCTACACACAGTTCTAACCATGTTTCAAAAATGGAAGCTAAAAAGCCACGAATTTAATTTTGCAATTAAATTAAAGACATTAGTTCCATTTCATCCTCAAGTGAATTTTGGAGTAACTTTTAAAATTACTGGGTTTTAAAGACACAGCTAAAATCACGTTTCCATGGTTACAGATAAATCTACTTCAACTGGACAAGGGGTGTCTGGATTTTCCTTATGTCTGCATCATTGTATCGGTTATTAGCTACATTTTGTTAAGGGGTAGGGATGTATTTTTCAATGAAAACTGACATCCGTTGAATGCATGTCGTCTGGATTTTTTTTTAATTTTTTGTTAACGGCAAAAAAATGCCGTAGACATTTTTTTCTATTTGTAAATTTAAAGATTTTCGCGGGTGTTCAGATTAGAATACTTTTTATTTAACTACGATTTGAAATATTCTCATTTAAAATAAAAAAATGTAACCTAATATACATACTTATACTTGATGTAAAAATAATCCTACATACTATAAAGGATTCTAATACATTTAACTGTTCTTATAAAAAATATAGTATAATAAAAATTAAAAATGAGAATATTTCAACATGCATTCAATGGATGTCAGTTTTCATGAATAACATGAACTCAGTTAAAGTCACAGTTCTAGTTGTGGACAGTAAATCACTAGGGTTCAATATCATCAGGAATTTGGATCGATTCCACATACCAGCTCATTCAAGGCTGCATTCTCTAAAACGGAAATTGCTGATATGTGCAGCCATTAAAATCGACAAACCAGATGTCAGCAATAAACTGAATAAAGACACAAAGATCAGGACTACAACCAGGGAAAGGGCAAATGGTCACCCATCAAAATACAGTGCCCGAGTATCACGTGTCCAAACAAGAGAGAAGAATATGAACAGGTGTTGCAGACATGACTAGACTAAATGGTTGCTGCTTTGCCCAGTCTTCCCAGGGACCTAATCCCAGTGACGGCAGTGATACAAGCAAATAAGAGAACATGACTTGTACTGGACTATCAGGAGTCAAAAAACATGCTGACACTCACAGAGCTAATGCCAATTCATGAGGGCAGAAGTTGAGGCAGTGATAACAAAAAATGCCCAATGTTTCCATTCTTGTCCTGTGGAAGGCTTACTTGTAAATACATGTCACTACTTAAGATGCAAAGATATTGTTTAACTTCAATGAAATTTGAGCTGAACATGGTACCAGCAATAACGAATGCATTCAATAGGCAACATTAGCATACATAGATGATGTATATGTCTATTAAAGTATAGCATCTGTGGCACACATAATACAACATCTAGCAAACTACAAGTTGATATGTCATGAACCATAGCTGTTAAAAAAAACGGTACTCAAATGCTTGGCTTACATATCTGGAGAAGAGCACAACACACCCTGTTCAAAGAGTGGAAGCATAATTGCAGGAACTGATAGTGCACCACACAACTTTTTCACTGTGTAGAAAACTGGTCAGACACTTCACTGTTTGCAGCTCGCTCAGAGTTGCAACAACATTTATCAAATGAAGAGTGACAGCAGGCTGGGATGACAAAATGAATGCTCCTCACATTAAACCATGCTTGCAGAACTTATTGCTGGCATAAATTACACAGCAAGTGGTGTGTAAATGAACACACTGGAATTATGAGTCAATGAGGGCTCCTTTGCCACTAGAGTCTCACTGGAACTCTGAGGAGCCATTATCAAAGACATGTTGGTTACATCCAGGGAAGGATAAATAGAACATCTACTTGGCAAAGCTTGATCCCATATTAAAGGGAGTCAACTTAGCTCTTCAGTGGGGCACTACTAAGATACATCTGCTTATGGACTCTGTATGTGTTCATTGGTGGGTATCCAACACACTCACAGGGAAAAGCCAAAGTAAACAAAAATACTGTGAGTGAAATGCTCAATGTAACTCGGTACTCTTTAGAAGGTATTGCACAAGTAGGAATTGTCTGTGGAGATGGCATAGATCAGAAATGGGTAGAGAGACTAACCCACAAAAATGTCTAGATGCAGTAAGAAAAGAAGTTGATCCTACTTCTGTCGCAAGTATTTTAGATGCACCCGGTCCCAATCAAATAAACACTGTATGCTGCCAAAGTGGGTGCCCTGACATCAAGCATATCTTATACTTTGTAAAATGAATTCATCCTGTGATTAAGAAGGCAGATGTCAAGGCAGTAGTGAGTGAACACAAAGAGTGCCAGTCAATCGACCTAGCCTCAATGTACTGACCAAAAGACAAGCTGAATGGGATTGATGCATGGAACTGATTGTGAATGAACACTGCCTACTATAATGGAAGACACTACTTAACACTGAACAAATGTGGTCCTGATCAATTTAATTTGATGACTTTTGCATCAACAGAATTCAACAAGTGTCAACTACCATTTAGAGGCCCTTTTTAATGACCTAGGCCCACCAGTAGAGCTTGTCACAGATAATAATACTGTGTTTAGTAGCCAGCTGGTCAAAGATTTTTTAAAGGAGTGAGGAGTCCAACTCCCCTTCTGATGTGTAGAAGTCCTGCTAGGCAATGCTTTAATTGATAGAAGTCATCAAATCAGTTAAAGAATTGTTGCCAACAAGTAATACACAATAATGGAAGCAGTCTGCTGATATGTCATAATAAAAGATAGTACTTCACCTCTTATTGCACTTGCTAGCATGATCCACCACATGTCTGGGTAGAAGAAATTGATGTAATACTTCTATCAAAATATCGAAAAAAGCACATGCTGTACAAAGGGAGAGATTGTGTGTGGGTGAAAACACACACACAACCAATATCAAGAAGGCATCTCACTGGTATCGGCAGCCCACACACAATTTTGATCAACAGAATGCCACACTATTTGAAAGATCTTTGCCCCGGTATGAGTTCCATCAGCAGTACATCAAACACATTTCTGAAAGTGCAAAGGTATTTGGATTTGGTGTGTCCAATGGCTCTTCAGATGGAGATGACATGGGACAGGAACCAGATGTATATGATGACTCCTTAGAAAGTGAGTTTTTCCAAAAAAGAGGTCACTGCTCCTCTACATGAAGTACCAGAATTAAAAGACTCTGAATAAGTTGGCATACCTGCAATTGATATTGGGGTGAGGGCATAGAAGGAAGTGGCAACTGACTTCATCTGCCAAAGTATTCTCATGTTGCATGCTGTTTTTGGCTCTCCAGAGTGGCTGGCATTGTAGGTTAGCAAACATGTAAATCAGTTTCATTTCTAGCCACTTCTAAATATCACTAGTGAGTTGAGTTAAAGAACATGCAAATCCATTTCACTCTTTTCAATAAGTATAGAGTCAAGTAGACTGCATTAAAAATTGCTGATTTTTTTTTTTTGCCAAGGGCTAGCAGTAAACTTCCCTTGGGTGGATGCAAGTGAATGGAGTGAGCCTTATGGCTTTTTGAGAAGCTCTAGTCATTCTTTTGATATGATTATTTCCCTCAGATAATAAATTGAAGAATTTTTAAATTTAACATAAGAATTATCTAAAAACAGGCTTTTTTTTGTTTTTTTAAGAATAAAGAAAATATCTGTAATAAATCATTCACAGGATCAAAAAGTATGTTCTCTGGAACACCTCAAGTGAATGGTTTTGATCTTGCAACTTCTTTATTAACATATTTGGAAAAAAAAAAAAAGGAAAAAGGAATTAAATCTGTCTTCCATTAAATGAAAAACAAATGTGTAGCAGAAAAGAAAGGAGGACATATTCAAGGCTTGTAATTGTTACTGAAGAGAAATCCTAAAAAGATGACAGTCAAAGAGAACCTTAAGGGTATCAACTTTAGAAATCAATTCTTAATTGTCCCAATTAACTAATCAACTGAGATATTACAAATAGTTTTGATCCACAAACAACTCACTTGATATAAAGAGCTTTTTACAAGTAAAAATACTTCCACTATTAATCAAAAAATAAAACCAATTCCAGTTTAGAAAAGTCAGAGATAGAGGAAGATATTGCACTCTGAACCCAGGTAAACAAAACCTAATACAAGAAAGAATAATAGAAGTATATATATATATATATATATATATATAAAAGCAGGTGTGTTTAGTGCCAACATAGCTGTGACGTTTTCAATCTCAATTGTTTTAGTGTGTGCATTTGAATCTGACTATGTTGGTGAGTTTCTTTAGATTTTATACACATACAGAAGTAACAGACGCCACCAAGTAGTCTGTGTTTATTACTGCAATGTGAGAGAAGCAAATTTAACCAAACAGAATAAGAAGATAAAAAATGTCACCCAACTTTAAATTCTTCAACAGGTTCACCAAAGTTCATTTCTATTGCACTTGATTGTAAATATTGATTGAATTGCATCTGGGAAGGAGATTGCAGTGGCTGAAATTAAATTTGGATATTGTATTAAATTCTCAAGTAAATGCAGCAAACCAAATGTAGTATTATTATTAAAACAATTTACGTCATCAATAACAGTGAAATTTTATACACGATATGTTGAAAGATTTAATCTACATGTGATTTAACTTTGTTTAGATTCAATTTAATTATTTTCAGTATTAATATTGATACTATTTAACTGATGAAATATTGAAATTCAATTAACTACTGTTAAATATTTTATACACTGCATCATACAATCAACATCGGTTTTTAGATTAAAGAGAGATTACTTGGATGACAAATGTAAGAATTATGTCCCCTGAATATTAATGTTACCAGACTCAAAAAATATATATATATATATATATATATATATATATATATATATATATATATATATATATATATATACACACAGGAATCCATTGATTAGTGAGGCTAATGTATACATTAAAACATACACATTAATTGAATATAATAACTTGTAGGAAATGATGTAGGTTGCACCTCAAATTTTAGTCTCATTCACAATTAATTTCTAATTTATGTACTTTTTAATTAAAATATCCTATGAATTAACGTTTATCAATCTGATTTTATTGGCAGTACTGAGAAATTGCCACTTTAAATTTTCCAAACATATCATAATTACTAGTATTTTAGCCTGAAAATTTTATTAATAATCTTGTCATAGTAAATGTATACATCTTTTATATTTCAATATTTTTTAATAAATGTACATTTCTGTATCTAATCAAATCATCCTTTTTTTTTAACAAAAAAATCGGGAATTTCCTTTTAAGGCCTTCAAAATAAACATGAACAAAAAATCAAAATATTCAAAAAATTTTAATAGAGATAAATATTCAAATATGTATTTTTATTATTAGTTTATATTATAAAATTTATCTACTTATAACTGTCCATTTTTTTAACACCACTGTAATTAATTAGATAACGTAATACTTAACAGACAAAAAGTTTAACATATATACTCGACGAAAAAAAAAAAAATAAGAAAAAAAAAGTGTGTCAAAAAGACAGCGTATTTTCTTAATATCACTATTACTTTACATTCCCTCAGCAATTTTTGTTTTAAAAAGCTATTTTTGGAATTTTAATAAAACCAAAACATATGAAACTAGATTTATTCATACTCTTTGTTCTCGAAAATTGAAACAAAAATATTAAACACCATTCTTGTAAATAAACAATTTAATAATGTGTTTTTGTCAATTGTCAAAATAAAAAAAAAAAAAGTATAAATCCAAATGCTCACAATTTATTTTAGTTAATTTATATGGTGATCGTAAATAAAAAAAAAAAATGCCTGGAAAATGTATTTTTCAAAATTTATAATTACATTTATGCATCATTATGTATTTATTTAAATTTTTGCTCTATAGTTCAGATATTTTAATAAATTTATAAATAATAACATGGTTAGAATATTGCTGACATATATTGCCTAATGCTCCTGTTATTTACCTTGAGCTCCTTGATAAAATCCAAAGAATCAGCAGCAATATTATTGGTCCTGATCTGACAGCTTGGCTTCAGTCACTTTCTCAGTGTCATAAGAATGCCTCTCTGTTTCTTTTCTATAATTACTTTCATGGTAATTGCTTAAATGAGCTCTTCACTATGCTCAGTAGACTTTTCGAATTTAAGCACAGTACTAGACTACTATTGAGGTCTCATCAATTTACAGTTGAGCTGGCTAGTTGTAACTGTAAATTCTATGCTGACAGTCTCTTTTCTTGCACTTCTTGCTTGTAGAATTCTCTTCTGCCTCCATACTTTCCAGCCAAATTTAATGTGAAAAAAATTTAAATGCAATGTCAATCACTATCTACTGAACTCCTGATTGCTCTTTACTCATATTATTAATATTTCCATTCCTAATTCTTCTACACCCTGTAACCCCTTGTGTCTTAATGGCTTTACTGCCTTGTATGGAATGATACCAATTAAAAAAAAGTGTAGAGTAATAGCAATGTAAAGAGAAAAGACATCCTTTAAACACACTGATTTTTTTGCAGGCACATAGGCTAAACTTTGCCAATATAATTAAGATTCCTGATGAGGTTATACATTAATAATTTATATATTTTAAATAACGCAACCATTGATTTTTTTCACTTACACGTTGCCGTCTTGGTCGCCCTTCAGAATGACTCTGGGTAGATTCTACAAACTGTTCTCTGAAGTGAGAAAATCCTCCCATGCCTTCTTCATGATCTGTAGTTTGCCTGACAGTTTTAGGCCTGGCACCACTCGACTGTACAACTTCCATGGATTCATTTGAAGACGTTCCACATGAAGACATTTCTACATCCATAGATTCTTCAGGTTTTCTGTTCTGTGTCGCTTTTGGTAAGGGACTAGATTCAGGAATGTTTGAGAGAGAGGTTGTGGCTTGATTGCTGTTGCTGGTGGGGCTTTGAATTCTCTCCTCCTGCTGACGACGAGCTGCTATTTCTTCTAGCTTTCTTTTCTTGTTGGCTTCAATGTCAAGCTGCTCAACAATGCCAGCATAAGTGATATCATCAACCTCACGGTGAAGAAACCTGAAGAAGACATATCCATTTGATTTTAAAGAATTAAATATTTTATGAGATTCTTCCTTTCAGTTTACTTAAGCCAGTTCCAAACAGAAGACTTCAGGAATTTTACAACTAAAACTCAATGTTTGTAATCAGAATGATAAAGTATTAAATGCATTCCTAAATCTTCTAAGAGTAAAGATGCTGTTAAGCCCATTTACAGAGTAACAATTGATTGATTTTTTTTTTCTTTATGGCCTATCAACCTTTTGCAGGTTAGTTAAAGCCAAAAAATATTTTTAAAGTGTAAGAATATTCTGGAGATAATAAGGATTTACTGATGCAAGTCCTACTAATTAACCCATAGCTGGAGGGGGCGAGAAGAGGTGAATTCATACCTTTCCCAAGGGTATTTGCACATAAATGAATATAACGAACCTAATTGGAATTGGAACTCTGCTCTCCGATTAACAATTATGAGCCATTATCCATTACACATGTGCATCCAAACTTATACCACCTGGTATTTCCAATCAGTCACCCATCTAGATACTGATAACGTTCAACAATGCTTAACTTTGGTGGTCATACAAGAACCAATGTTTCAACATGATATGGCTGTAAGCCTTCTGAAATGATGAGTTATTATTTACGTTATTTATATGCAAACTATATTCCACATCTTTGTTTTTATTATAACATTTTGGATGCTGTGACCTCTGACCTTCATCAGGAGCTAGTTGATCCAGGTAACCATCAGAAAGAGAAAAGGTAGCAAGGTAGCAACAGCAACCATAGTAAATAAGAGGAACCTCAGTGTGTGTGTGTGCAGTCAAGTGTGACAAGCAACACACATAGAATGTTGAGTTTTTGGAAACACTATGAATTGAGTTCCTAGTTACTAATAAAAAAAAATGAAACTTAAAATTATAGTTATTATAGCCAAAAAAAAAAAAAAAAGGACCCACTATTTTCATAAAAACAAACAGAAAGTAAAAGTTGAGTTACATTGTAAATCAAACCTGCACCTTTAAAAAAAAAAAAAAAGTTAATTTCCCCAAGAAATTCTGGTCATATTCATCCATTATTTTAAGCTTAGCTTAATCTAGCACAAGGTATTTATGAAAATTTATAATCAAAGTATAAGACCTGATACAAATCTGCCTCAAGCCAGAAAAGTTATATTTAAAACAAACTAATAGATGTAGTGAAAATAATGCAATTATTGTGGGTACCGTTCTTTTATTATGCCATTTGTTTTTTATTAATTGGTCATTTCACTGTCTAATATAGGTTGAATAGGTTAAAGACATTTTGGCATTTTTCTTTTGCAAGAGCTCTTGTGTACCAAATAGTGCCAGTATGATTAAATTATTTCATTCAATCCTCTCCCCACAACTCAGCATGGTATTTATTGGGTATGGCATGCTTATTATTTCTAAACTAATTTTCTCCACAGCACAATTATTTTGTTCCACATCAATTGATCTCATAAAAATTCCCAGTGGAACATTTATTTGAACTTACACACTTATTTAATGCTGAAAAATTACCACCAGCATATCTATTCCAGACTGTTCTTGGATTCAGTAGAAAAGAATAATGGTATCATAGACAGGGAAATTTAAACAATTTTTTCTTTAGCATGATGTACTTTTTCCAGAATTTCAAGCTCAATTCTTCAGTTTGGCGTGCTATGAAAATTGGTAAGAGTCAGAAGAATATTAAAAGACGCTTGAAATATCATAACAGTTAAAGTCTGTCAAAAATGGCTGATCTCAGTACATTCTTAAAAGTCTGAAGTGCAGCTAACTTAATTTTAAATTCTTAATTTCGAAATTAATTCTCATTGAATAAAAAAGAAAATTGACTTGATACAAACAAAATATTTACATTTTTATAAATATTTACCAAAAATTTAGAATTGATAAAGATATGATCCAATGTGCATCCTCAGTTTCAAATAAGAGCCAAGGACTTTTACAGAACCTTGTAAAATCCATATTACACAAAAGCTTTAAATAACTACTTTCAGCATGTTTCTAGAAAAAGATTTTTAAAAATGTGAATTTATTAAAACTTAATATGTACAAAATTCAGCTTACCTGATTACTGCCTTGCCACTGGTAAGGCCCAGTTTTCGTAGAGGTGTCCTTTTTAATGCATATTCACCAATTACCTTAAGAGAAAAATATTGACAAAGCATAAATCTAATTAAAAAGAAAATACTTTTTGCAGAAAAGCCACATTATTCCATATTCATTCAATCAAGTCTGTGTAAGCTCCAAATTAACTAAAAATGCAAAAGTTAACTACTTTCATTTTAAATTACTAAGTAATTACTAAAAAAGCATACCCTAATGTTCCAGATCCTTTATACATTTTGAGTGACATAAAACTATTAAAAAGTAATCTCTTACTTTTTTTTCTAATAACCATAACATCAATCTAGTAACAAATGCATGTAACAATTATCAGAATGTAGGAATTTTAAGAAAATGCTTGGACTTTCTTTTGATAAACTTAAAGATTAAACTAACACATGTCAAGAACACTAGTTTTAGCAGAATCAAAATGCAGTCTGCTTTGATCTTGTCTAATTCCAAACAACATTTCTCAGAGGTAGGGATGTGTGCATATATATATATATATATATATATATATATATATATTTCTTTTCGTGCAAATTATTATTATTTTCGAATATTTCAAAAACCGTCCAATCAATTCACACAAAACTTTCACACAATGTTGGCAACACTGACCTGCGCAGTCACTGAAATGTTTGTATTGATCTGCACAATGTAAACAAACTGGTGCCATATTTGTTATCAGCACGGCGATTTGAGCGTGCCAAATTATTAGAAAGGTTTAGTAAAATTCCCAGAATTGAGCTAACAAAATGTTTATTAATGTTGCATATGAATGTTTATGATCAAAAGAAGCTAATAAATAAGATAATCAAACAAATAATAACAGAGACAAACAAAGGCACAGTCTTAAACAAATTAATAGGGAATGTGCTTTCCCTGTTTTGAAATTACTTGAAGAAGTCGACGGTCCATAGAATTTAGGATGTCATCTGCTGTAATGCTGTGAGATATGTCAAGAATTGCTTTCCACGACTCAGCGTTGCTCCTGAATTGTCGTCCGTTGGCGTACAGTCTTCGCTTCATGATGTTCCAAAGGTTTTCGATTGGGTTCAAACCGGAGAATTTGCTGGCCACTTCATTTTTCGAGGGTCCGCCGAAGCCTAACTGTTTTCAAATATTCAGTAGTCTTGTGAGCAGCATGTGAGGAGCATTACCTTGCATAAAAACAATGGCCCTTCTGAAGGCAACTCTTTGCCTTTTCATCCACCAGTTCAAGATGCTCCTTCATAAATGCGATGTAGCCATCAGCAGTCATTTTGACGCCATCTGGTACTATCCATGGACCCACTAATGTTTTTCCAATAATACCACCCCAGATCATTATGCCTCCACCGCCTTGTTGGTGTCTGAAATGCTGATGGCGATTCTGTCCATTCATTACCCAGCCTTTGCACCATCTATCTGGCCCATCAAGTGTTGCTAGAGTTTCGTCTGTGAACAAAACTTTAGAGAAGTCAATCTTCATATTGTCCTCGGTCCATTTCAAGCGATTTTGAATGTGATTTCTCGTCAACGGAGGTTCGATACAAGTTTGACTGTTGTTGCTATTTCCCTCAGATACAAGACACCGAGTACTTTTAGACACAGTAGGATCCCCAATGCAACTGAAAAGCTCTTGACTGGTAAGTCCAGGGTTCTTCGTGGCCTCTCGTTTAATTCGTGACATGAGACAACGTGAAGTAACATTCAGCTTACCTTTATCTGCTCTTTTGCGTACTTGTGTAGGGTCGGTGGTGAACTTTTTCACTGTTTGATGATACCCTATCATTTTAGAAATTTCTAGGGTAGATTTACCTTTTGAGAGTTCTGAGGTGAGAGTTTTCTTTTCAGCATCACTTAAACTGCTTTTATGGCCCATCTTTTCACTAAATTCTTACACTTTTCTAATAATTTGGCACACTCAAATCACAGTGCTGATAACAAATATGGCGCCAGTTTGTTTACATTGTGCAGATCAGTACGAAAATTTCAGCATTTGTGCAAGTCAGTGTTGCCAACATTGTGTGAAAATTTTATATGAATTGATTGGACAGTTTTTGAAATATTAGAAAAAAAAGGTACCTCGATAATAATTTGGCACGCAGTGTATATGCATGCATACAAACACAATTGGTCAAACCAAAACTCAAACAAAAACATTGTTTTCAATCGTTATGAGTCTACTAATTGAATAGAATTTTATTATAAACAATTGTCTTGTAAATGGAATTTTTAAAGCATTCTGAATGTAAAAATAAAGAAAAAAGTGTGCAAGACAATAAGAAACACTACCTGCCAAAAAAAAGTGAAGTTTTGTTGAAATCGGTTGAAAAATGTAGGAAATCCGATCCCATATATAAATGAACACACACACACATACATACAAACAACCTGGGTTTTATAATAAGTATAACTCTATACGAGTTGCCCCCTTTCATTCTGGCGACAGTGATGCCTCTTAATCGTGTTTTCAAATTGATTTCGTGCAAAAACAATTGTGTTTTTCCAATTTTTGGTGTTGTCAGAACCACTGCAAGGTAATTTTACATAGTCCTGTGAAGTTTTGTTGAAATCGGTCGAAAAATGTAGGAAACCCGATCCAATATATAAACAAACAGACACACACACAACCTGGGTTTTATAATAAATATGATATACACTAAAAGTTTAAAATATAAACCAAGGATTAAATGCCAAAGTTGACAAAACATATATTTTCAATTGCTAAAACCTGACAAGTGTACTGGACAATTACAAAAAGTGTTCATCGACAGAAGTACAGCATGAAGGTGCTGAATACAATATCAATCAGCGAAGTGATAAAATTTATATTTGTATATATCATATTTCAATCCCAGCTTGAATCAATCAGATGTTTAGCCACACTGAAGAGCTGTGTTACAGCAAAACAGTGTCTGTGAATGACTAATCTATATATATATATATATATATATATATATATATATATATATATATATATATACTTATGTTATAATTTTTTTTTTAAAAAAAATAATTATATATATATATATATATATATATATATATATATATATCGTGTGTAAATTATTTTCAGAGTGTATCTGTAAAGGAACAATATAAATAAAAAGACAAGGAAAAACTGTTCTTAACCTATGTGTATTGTCCTCTGAGGGACTTTATCAATGCTATATATATATATATATAAAAAGTTTCAAATTAAAAAATAATAATGTTTTATTTTATGAAAGTATTTATTTATTTATATATATATTTGATATTTCAAATTGTCCTCAATTTTCATCAGAAATAACTGTTTTGTTACAAATAATTTAAAATTACTGTTTGTTAGCAAGTAGCGTCCTTCATGGCGTGGGCGTCCACGTGATATTGAACGTCACTGTTAGGATATTCTAACTTAAATCTAACTGTCATAAATATTTTAAATGTTGTTTAAAAAAATTTTTTACTATATCTAAAAAAAATTGCTTAACTATTGAAATATTTATAAAGATTTAAAAAACCTAAGTCCCTATTCAACCCTAGTTTATGTATTTAATTTAAAATCCAATATGTTTCTTTTTTTTCTGCGTGTGAATGTGGAAGTAAAATCGAATCTATCAACAAACATTTGCAGTTTTCTAATGTGTGTCCTGATTGATTGTAGTGTTTAGCTATGGGGGAATAAGTGTTGTTTTGACGTATTGTTTGTTTATGGTTATTGAAACGAAATCTAAAATTATTTCCAGACTCACCAATATATCCACTATTAGGACATAAGTTGCAGAATAAATAATAGATTACGTTATAGCTCGTCAAGGTGAGGTTAGGTGGCTGTATCCTGATATTGGTGTTGGGTACAGAAAATATATTAGCTATAATTAAATGTTTGCAAACTAAGCAACGAGGTTTGTTACATTTGTAATTTCCTGATTGTTTTCTATTGTTTAGATATTTGGTAGAGGTGAGGATAGCTGATAGGTGATTGTTTTTTTGCATTTATGGGTGGTTTATCGAAAATGTCTTTGATCTTGTTGTCTAATTGGAGGTTCTTTTAATCGTTTTTTAAATTGTGAATAAGTGTGTGGGAATATTGATTGTGGTTAAAAACCATGGGAATCCGATTTTTGTTTTTAATTTTCTTGTATGTGAGAAGTGTGTTACGATTTATCAGGATAGTTTTATTTAGTGTTTCTTTTATTATTTTTATTGGGTATTTGCATTTTAGGAATTGTTTTGTTAAGTTATTAATGTTGTATAGAAAATCTAAATGGTCCGAGCATATGTGCTTGATTCTTAGAAATGAGCTGTATACAATAGATTTTTTTAATTTAAAGGGATGACAGCTGTTAAAGTGCAGGAATTTATGTTGGTTTGTGGGTTTGTTGTATAGACTGGTAGAAAGTGTATGTTTGTTTAATTTTATCATAACATCTAAGAAAGGGATGGATGTGTATGAGTGCTCCATGGTAAATTTAATTGTATCATGGAAATTGTTGCAGAAAGTGAAAAAGGTTTTTAATTTTTCTGATCCATGAGTCCATAGTAAGAAAATGTCACCAATATATCTAAAGTAATGTGATGGTTTATATTCTGAATTGTCTAGTATCTTCTTTTCTAGAATGTGCATAAAGATATATATGTGTGTGTACATTTTCGGATATTATTTTTAAAACATACTTTCATGAATGAAAGTTTTTCCAAATATATATATATATATATATATATATATATATACATACATACATACATACATACATACATCAATATAGCTATAGATGTAAAAGAGAAACCATTTTGAAGACAGAAAATGGTATTTGACTTACTTCTTCCCTCATGTAAATACAAACTGGATGCTTTGGAGGCTGGCAACTACTATCCACTGTTGTAGACAAAGCTTCTTGCAAGGAACTAGTAGCACAAAAGAAAGAAAAATAACTTTATCACTCATTTAATTTTCTTTTAATTCATACATACTTCAAACATTTTAATTCCTAGCTAATAAGTAAAATCAAATCAGCAGAGGAAGAATTAGAGACTATCCCCCTTGATAAAAAATATAGAAACACCTGCATTAAATGATTTGGTGAGAATAAGCAGAGTCAGTATATCTGTCATCATTTCTTTACTACAAACACCTATTTTCATAAAAAAAAATAACATCTGAAGAAGACTGTAGAATGGACTCGAGACAATGTTGTAATAATAAAAGTGCTTGATCATCCAAAAAAATGGTATAATAATGACTTCTCAAAATTATAAGGTATTCTAATAATGCATAGTAGTCCAGTTAGAACAATAAACAGCTTGATGTTGGATTTATGTAAATTATTAACCCATTGTACCAAAAACAATATACATATTTACAGCCATTCAAAGTGGGATGCTCTTTCAAATGCAACATATATATACATACACACATAAGGTTAAAAGGAAAACTTAGCCGATGTGTTTTATCTTCTGAGGTACTTTATCAAGTCAAAAGTGAGGATTTGATTTTATAACAAGTATTTATATACAAAAGCAAAAATGTTATAGGTTTTACAAAATTTTTAGCTATAGAAATGCTCATAAATATTTATCAGGTTGACTGAAAAGTCAGGCAAGTTATGGAGGACATAAAATAATACAATTCAATGTCTAATAAATGAAAGTGATGTTTTTGAATTTTTGTTTTATATGCAAATAAGCATTTAAATTATTTTAGTTAGCGATTAATTTATGTGTTATATATTTTGAATAGCATGAGGTTTTAGTTTTCTTTTAAATGTTTTGTTTTTAACATTTTTGTAGTCATGTACCTTGGGTTGGAAAAGTAGTACTTCTTTCAGGAATGGAGATATTGGAAAAAAACAGGGTGCAGATTTAAATTTTGATAAGATTCAAGAATTTTCAGTCTATGTAAGTTACTTCCTCTTTTAATAAGTGTGACATTTTTTTTTTAGATCAAAGTTGTGGTTGAATTTATTTCTATGTATAACTAATGCATTTGATAAATTGTTGTGTATAAGGTCTGTTTTGTGTTCATAGATATGTCATATATATATATATATATATATATATATATATATATATGTATATGTGTATATATATATATATGAAGAAATATAGTCTTAAGGTGTGCTATATTTATGGGATAAATATCAGAGATAGAGCGTGTGAATAAATATAAAAGTGAACATAGAAGTCAACACTTCATGACAACAGTCTGTTTCATGCTATATGTAATCGTCCCAGGCCATATGTGCTGTTATTTTCTCGACTATTTATATATATATATATATATATATATATATATATATATATATATATATATATATACAGGTCAGTGGTGCATTGTGGGTAGGCTATTATGGCAGTTATTTTACGGAAGTCGTTTATTTATTTATTTGGGTTAAATTATTTTGCTTGTTTTTATTCATTTTTTGTTTCTTATCTTATATATATATATATATATATATATATATACATACATACATACATACATACATGTCTTTTTCACTTGAAGACTTGCATAAAAATACTATGTTGTGTACCCAGTTATTCATTACTCATAAGAATTGCCAAATTTTATTAGAAAAATATTTAGTTCATATTTTTACAATCCAGCAAACAGTTCACAAAAAGCGATCATCATACAATAATAGATTTTAATGAAATTTATTACGGGTATTAAAATAAGAAACTTTAATTCATTCTGTAAAACAGAAATAAGAACCATAGTTGAAATTTCTAGTATAATGAGGAAAAAGGGCTTGGAGAATATGACACTCACAGGACAAATTGAAGACAAATGAGACAAAGGAAAGTGACAAGTAACGAACCTAATAAACACATGTAAATAGATGACAGAAAAGTGATTGGGAGAGACAACAAAAAGACAAATCTTACTAAGGTCTACAAAGAATAGGAAGTTGTGAAGAGACATGATCACCCGTGACATATAGAAAAGAATTAGAGTCAGTTAAATTTAACCTATTATGTGTTTTTTTTAGATAAATACTGCAGGAAGTTTTTTAAAAAATATTAATATATGTAATTTACATGAAACATTTGCTTGTAAAAATTCTATAATTATTTGATTTGTTTTTTACAGATTATCAACCCTTTGTGGGTTATTTACAGCCAAAACTTATTTTGAATTAGAGGAATATTTCTTTTCTTTTTTGCACGAAAATATTGCATTAACAATCTTTTTTTAAGAACAATGATTTTTCCAGATACAAGTTCTACTATTTAACCCATGGGTGTAGAGAGGTAATGAATAATTTCATAAAAATTTATTAATAATTTTTAGATATAATGCTAAATGTATTTTACAAACTGATTTGGCATGCTATATATCTCCATTGATTCATCTTAAAATCGAAAAGTAGAATTTGATTGAATTTTCAAAAACTAGTGAAAGTTTCAACTTGCATTTTATACCTACATTTTTTTAATCATTTCACCCCAAGTGAGGTAATAATACCCCTAAGGCATAAGGGGTTACTGGGAGTGGAAGAGAATGAGAAGTGAGAAAAAAAGGCAATAAAAGAACAGGAAGATGACAATTGACATTGCATTTAAATTTTTGAAGATTGTAGATGGCACGGAAGTAAGAAACTAGAAGAAAGTTCAACAGGTGAGAAGTGCAAGAAACCATTAGAATAGAACTTACATCTAGCTATTTCAACAGTAAAACGGTGAGATATAGTTGCCAAACTAGCTAGTACTAAGCTTAAATTCATGCATTCAAAGCACCAAGAAGGAAAGCTCATCAAAATGATTACCATGAAAATATTTACAGAAAAGACAAAATGAGGCTATGTCATGTGAGGTGGGAAAGTGACTGAAGTCTAGATGCCAGGTCAGTATCGATTACATTACATCCTTCTTTGGATTTTGTCAAGAATCTTGAGACAAAACCTTTGTAAAATATACCAAATTTACTCAAAATAATAATATTGATATTAATGCAAATTCTTTAGGTAGGGTTTCATTATTATTATACATGGTTTCTTTTGGATCAGCTTTTCTGGCCTTTATTTTATGCATCAGAGTCTCAGCTGCTGTAAACTACAATTTTTTCTCTCTGAATTTCATAGACATGCTGTCGTTGTTGTTACTATTATACATCAACTAGTTTATTCATCTTCACTGTCTTTATCTTTGTTCTCAAAATCCATGTCTTTTACTTATTTATCACTGTTGTATAGCATTTAAATAAATAATAGTTGGAAAGAGAATTGAATATGTTATGTAACATAGCCTAGTGGGGGGAAAAAAGCACTCGGTAAAGATCATTTTGTTCTCAGCAAGTCATTCTTTATTTTTGTTTCATTTGCAATTTACTTTAAACTTTCAATATTCTCAATCTACTCCAGAGGTGGATCAGAGAAATATCTACAAAAATACCTATATAAGAAAATATTGATGCTAAACTCAAGTCAAGAGGTTTTAAATGATAATCTACTAGAAAGTGAGTAAGAGAAAACAACAGTCCAGGAACATTCCTGCTAACACCCCGTGAAGGAAATGTGCGTTCCCAAAGAGAAAACTTCACTTAGAATATCTTTAACTCTTCAGCATTCATCACACTCAAACCCACTCCATAAATATCAGCTCTCAACGTTTCACTGTTTGCATGACTTCCTCCATTATTTGTGATGACGTCGTCATATGGCAAAGTATATATATCAGGCTGTTTATGTCAGGTTGAACATTGTGAGCTGATATTTACATGCTTGTTTAGCAGCATATCAATTCCTTATGGGCCATTTAATGCCAAAATTTAATTTTCTTAGCATTAGTAAATTTCTTTACAAAAATATATTGCTGGTATTTTCACTATAAAATCTATTTTTATACTTTTATAGTGTTTGACCCCAGTTTGTGGGTTAACTATTTGCCCATAGCTGGAGCCCTAAAAGGTGCTACCACTCCAGGTCAGTGTGGACTTGAGAACAACAACAATTAAGAGGTGGTTCCACACTCCTCAAAACCTCCAATCTCCCAATCAGAAGCCTTACTGCCAGATGTAGTTTATTGTCATATCCAAGACAAACTTACAGAAAGAATTATTTGTAGTAAAAATACTGAACTTTTTTTTTTAAGATGAAGTATTGTCACACATTATTAATTTTTGGCTAGTGTTCCTTCTATTATAATTTGAGTTACCTTTCACAACTACTCAGACCAACACCCTATAACCTTTACTAAATGGTAAGGATCTATAAAAAAAAAAAAGACTGTATTTAGCAAAACTGAAACTAGCATTGTTTTTGCCTTGAGAAGTCCATTTGTAAGAGCTGCTCTACTACCACTTGTGCTTTTAAAGTTAGTAGAAGATGATATCTAAGCATTTAAACATATGCTGTATTTTTTACAGTCGCCTGGCACCATTTTGTTATTGTACCTCTAATAGGACAGCAGAGAAAAATATGTTCCCAAGTCAAAAGTGATGCAAAAGAGTAAACTTTATTTTCAATTTGTGCCAATGGTTGTAGACTGGTCAGAGTAGTTCTGAATAAAAGCAATTAACCATCATTGAATTGATCGCATTTATGAACAGTCTTCTCCATATAGTCTTTGACTGCATTTTGTAGTTGATCCTTTAATAAATTATTATCTTCAATCAGTTGTTCAATAAAAAGGTTCATGCACAAAAACTGTTTCCCTGGTGTATGTTCCTAAAATAAATGTTTGTGAATGATTTCAGCCTTGGTTCTCCAACAATATTCACTGAATCTTACTCTCTTCTAAGCAATTGTAGTAGTCAGTTTTGGGAAGTCACCATAGAGCATTTGGTTAGCCATGTTGCTGTCAATTGACATTTTTCACCACTCTTAATAGAAGCCCCATCAAGGTTTTTTGTTCAATACCTTCATTAGAGTCCATGAACTGGAGTCATACAGATGGACCTTTTCAATTCGTGCTCAATTTTGATTTCAGATGGTCGACATGATTTCAATACTATTTCTATCTTTTGTAGTGCTATCCTAGCTTTTGCAATTCTGACAATTTTCTGTCCTTGCAACAGGAGTTGATCCAGAAACCAAGATACAGAAAGTTATCTTCTCTCTTGAAAGTGTTACCTGCAACAGTGACTAATTCGGTTTTCTCTTGATTGTACAGCATGAACTCAGTTTTCATATGATCAATATACAATCCAATTTGCTTGGTAGCATTTTCAACTCATTTCAGAAGCAGCTGGGCTTGCTCTAATTTACTGGACAACAATGTTATGTCACCTGCACAATCTGTATCGCATGTGATACTAGCTAGTTCTTGTCTACTTCTGGCTTTACTTACAGCAATTTAAATTAAGCTGAAATAGATGCTAGTAAAAAATTAATAACATTTGCAAACATGACAAATATCTAAAAAGATTAGGCATTGTAAAGACAAAAATTATTAACAATGAATCAAAAGAAACAATTTTAGTAATCTGTAAGCTTACCTGTCTGATTCTTTCTGCCAAATCTCCAAGATTTCCCAGAGAACAACCTGAGGATTAAAAGACTTTTGCAGTCGAGTCCCATCTTCCAGTTGCAAGGCAATCAACACTTCTGACTCCTTCCGTGATTGTGGGGCTTTGACAAGTTCTAATTTGGCATTATTAGGTAGACCCAAGTACCTTAAGGAAACAGTCAAATCTGGCTGCTTTCGGCCATGCCTTTAAAAATAAAGAAACAAAAATAAACTTGAGATATAGAACTTGAGACACGTAAGTTGACAAATATTCTACTGGCTCAAAGAAGGTAATATCTCTTTATACCCACATTCAAACCATAGTTTTTATGCATTTGTTTTTTCAAAACTAGTTTATAAAATTATAGGATTTATGAAACAAATACATTAAAATTTTCCTTCCCTCTTATGATATATATATATATATATATATATATATATATATGATAAGCAAATATAAATGGATATAAATCCGACAGAATGAAGAAAATATCTGGAAAAACAAAACCTTTGCATTTTAAGGATTTTTGTTTTGTTTTTCCAGATATTTTCATATATATATATATATATATATATATATATATATATATATATAATTATTTTTATAAAAAATTATAACATAAGTATGTTATAAAATCACTACAAAAATAGCCATTTTGTTTCAACACACTCTGTGTCTTATCAAGTGATGATGTTGAAAAGAAAATAAATGGTTTTAAAAGTTTCAGATTAATTAACCATCTACACTAGGGGGAAACATTGTTACAAAAGCTAGAATAACCAATCAAAAACGAAGTATAGAAAGATTCAAAAGCTTGACAACGAAATCCTGCTATAATAGCTATTCAGATCTTTAAATACGTGTAATATTAAAAATAATTTATACTAACTAATAATTATAAATTTATATGATAAAATTTAATATTAAAATTAAAAACTGGCAATTTTAAAATCCAAATTTAATCACTATTAAGTTTAAAAACTACAAAATTATTGAGAAAAGAAAAATATATATGTTTATTCAATTCATTTCTTCATTGAAATTACGATTCGACAAGACAAGACGCTACAATACATCCGGGTCATTTGATAATACATGTATATATTTTTTTTTTTCCCCTTTTTCCGTTTTTACTTTAAAGTTTGTGAATATGGTCTTAAACTCACGCGTGACACAACAAAAACACAATCAGATTATAATACATAAGCACCCAGACATAATTAGACACACACACACACACACCTAAAAAAAAAAAAAAAAGGAGAGGTGGGGGAATACATGAACATCTCTACAGCCCTTTATGAAAAAAAAGGAGACGTGAAACTAACACTTATACATACACACAGTTAAATGTGAATACACTCTACATACAGATAGACACCGATATATACACATACATACATCCACAGACAATGGCATAGACATTGAGAAATCACAACCAGTAAATATTTCAGACTTAAATAAATGCTAACCACTTATTGAATTATAACTTAAGGGAGCAAATATACAAATATAAAAATGTTTAAAATAATATTATTTTATATATATATATATATATATATATATATATATATATATATTGTAATACAACAAATACTAAAAGCACATCCACAATATTAGATTCTATTATGCAAGTCCTCATGCTATACTCTAACTTGATAAAAGCCAGATCAGACTGAAAATGGAGTACTGCTGCCATATTTAGGCGAGAGCTGCTCAGTCCTCACTTTCCAGTCTTGATAGAGTTCAAAAGCATCTCAGAGTCCTTGTGATCGACAAATTATTTTTCACCCTCCAAACTTTCTCTCACAAGTGGGATGTGCCAAGCTTCTCACTGCTCTATCACTACTTCCATGGAAAGTGCTCAGATGAACTATATTCCTTTGTTCTGCCAGGTCTAACCTTCACGGCTAGGACACGCCATGCCACTAACATATTAGCAAACTACCCACATTTCCACAGTGAGAAGTTCTACTCAAACAGCTTCTTCATGAGAACTGCTACTCTGTGGAACAGACTCCCAACAGAATGTTTCCCTGATCGCTACAATGTTAACCTGTTCAAGCCTAGAGTTAGCCATTCTTCCCCTCTTATCTGTATAAACTACCTCTTAACATAATCCTCTACTGTGAGTGGACTCAGGCCTTGTACAGGGTGAACCTTACTATAGAAGAAAAAAAAAAATCAATGTTTCCATAATAAATTTAATTTAAAATTATATATATCAATGAAAAAACAATATTCAAAGGAAGATTTCTGAGAGGCAATAAAAAATGCTTCAAGTAATGTTAAAGTCAAAATAGAAAAGACAAAATGAGTGAAAAGCTGATAGCAGTCATAGAAAGTCAAGGAGCCAATATTACCAAGTAAAATAATCATTTATTTAGGTTATATAGGATATTGTTTACATAATTATTTATGTTATTGCATTTAGTTTATTTGTCTGTATAATAAAATTTGAAATCTCCAAAACAAATTATTATCAATATTTTTAATAAGGAGAGATATTAGAAAAATGAAACTCACATGATATATTACTCATATAAGTATAATCCTGAAAGTTTTACAAACATAAGTTGGTTAATACCAATTTTTGTGTGAAAACATTGACTCGCATAATAAAATCTGACAGTATACAGGAAATAAGCATAAAACAAAATCTTCATAATACATTTAATATATAAACAATACAATATATGAACAATTATAGTGAATCAATTCAAAGGATTGATTATAGAATATTTATCTTTTACTCAAAAGTTGATGCAAAATATTAACTTCAGAATAGAAAAGTTACATTTTAGCACCCACAGAGAAGAATTTGTAATAGCCCATTCACAGAGCTATGAATAAATACAAAAATGGAATTTGATAGTTAAAACACTAAATTTTTGTGTAATTTCCATTAGCTTCTAATTCTACATGCTATGCAGTGAAAAATCAGGAAGAGATGTAAGGAATTAATGTAAACATTGGTGACAGATAAAAACAGACTGTTATACAAGGGCCATCTTGAATATATCCAGCCATTTTGAATATTTTTGTAAAAGGTTGCCCTATTGTTATAATTTTTTCAAGGTGGTGATATTTATATATTTAATCCTTTAGCATTCAATCCACCCTGTAAATATCAACTCTCCAAGTTCAAACCATGGTAAACCCCTCCATGTATACTCTGCCATAATATATGATATCATCATCAGAAATAATGCAGAAAGTCCCACAGTGAAACATTGGGTCGATATTTTTGGAGTAGTTTAAGCAGAATTAGTAGTTATAAGACATATCAAGGTGTAATGTTATACTGGTAAAATATCTCAGCTGCTTCAGGACAAAGAAACTTTTCCCAAGATATCATTTCAATTTGTTCAAGTTGCTTACAACTTCATTGTAAAAATAGTTAAAGTATATCAGTCATTTATGTGCCATGCATGATACACGCTTAGGCAATCATGTATCTTTCAATACATGACTGATGAGACAGATTTTTCCCCCTCAGTAGGTTGCCATTTAATTTCTGCGGTAGACCAGTTGCCATCCAAGGCTATAGAACCCAGTCTATCCTGCTATTTACCCATAGCTGGGGGGAGAAGAAGAGGAGGATTCATACCTTTCCCAAGGGTATTAGCATATAAGTGAATGTAATGGATTCAACTGAAATTTGAACTTGGCTCTCTTTAAATATATACAATGACTGTAATGATAAGCAAAAATACAAGCAAACCCCTCAGAAATAATCTATCCTATACCCTATCACACAAGGAGATTACTGATATTTATCATACAGTCTGACCTCTTCTTGGCATTGAAATATTCTATTCTTGTAGTAATAGGAGGTAAACATGTTTAGTGTTAACATAAAGGAATATCTCACAAGTAAGTAAAGAATTCAAGCTGCTAAAAGTTTTTATTTCGTGTTAGTTTTCTTTGGATATTTTTATTTTTAATTATTGAAAATGCAGAATTTTTTCTTACATGCAACTTGTAACTGTATAAATAAAAATCCTAGATCATATCTACCGCAATTATAAAATTACTTAAATATTAGTCATTTTTTTTTTACAGTACGGTTAAACTGTTATAAAGATAGGTAGATTCCACAGATATTTTCAGATCAATGCAATATTTATTATTTACCTTTTATAAAGATTATTTACCATTTTATAAAGAAACAAATTGGAAAAGAATTTTTTTTATTAAAAAATTACAAAATTGTCAAAATATTTAAACCAACAACAATGCAATATATGCATAAAATTACAGACATACTGTAATTAAAAACAAGGAAAACTTTGTCCATCCAATGAATAGAGAGATACACACACAAAGTAGTGAGTGTTTGTGGTCTCACTATAAAATCTAAAATTAAGAGAATGTTTAGTTCAGAGAAAGAGATGCTATCAACCTATTTTAATGAATTTATGTGATAAGAGCAACAGAAAGAAAAGCCCGGAAAATGAATTTTTTTTTTATAATTAGTTATTTGTCATTATTTGTTTATTTAAATTTTTCTTGATCAGACATTTTTTATGAATAAAAAAAAAATTCTTTTCATATTTATTTTTTTGTAAAATGGGAAATAAATATTGGTTTATATTATCTTATAATTAAGCATTCTAATAAATAGTATTTAATATCTTTGTTGTCAATTCTAATAAAGAAAATGTATAAATCCACTTTCACATGTTTGGGTTTTATTAAAATTCTAATCATTGATTTTAAAATAATAAATACTGCTGAGGGAGTCAAAAAAAAAAAAAAAAAAAAAAAAAAAAACAGTGTAATAATATACATACATACATACATACAGGGTTGGTGGAAAGGAACTCCCTATAAAAAATACTTATAACTTTTGTTAATATCACTACATTTGCATGAAACAAAATATATTTTGATCCCTAAAGAGGTAGAATTTCATTGCTAATTTGTTTTTTTTTCAGAGTGTCATGTGCAGCACAGAATGGCACAACTGACTCTGAATGAGAGTGCTCAGCTAATATCCCATTATGAAGCATGACATACCATGATAAAAGTGCAGATATTGTGATTGTTATTCCAAGCTGATGAGTATGGGATCTATGTTAGATACCCACAGAGGTGGTTGTCCTTCAACATCCAGATTGGAAGAAAATTTGAAAAAAGTAGAATTTTAACATTGTACTCTACTTCTACCATTACAGTGTTCAAAATAATGAACAAACATGTTGTTTGACAAAAATCAAACTATCATTAATAAAGTTATTAATAATTTTAACCCTGTGTTAGTCACATGGAGTGTATTGTTACCCCAAAATTTTTAAATACTCAAAATTCCTATTTGGCAAATTGGTTTCTTTTGCTTCTTACCACTACTCTCCAGTCTCAGTGAAGATGTACAGCACATAATGCGGTACAGTTGTAGTTCAGCTGTCGTGTGAGGCATGTGTCAATTTTTTGGAATCCAAGGTGACTAATGCAAGGTTAAATAAGCAGTTTCTTTTCATCCACCCTATATAAATATATATATATATTAGTCATATTCTGCATGTTGAAAAAACATGATATACTGTAACAAAGTTTTATTTCTTATCAGTGGGATGTTTGGAGGTGGAGGAAAGAAAATAGAAAGCTGAATGGAGCACAAAACTGCAATATTCATTTCCCCACAAATATCATAGCAGATGTTAACATTCTTTCAAAAGTAGCATTTATTTTTCTTGCTTTCTAATTTCTCTCTAATCTCTTCATTCCAACAATCTTATTTATCAATATTTCTTCTATGAAACCTAATCATATTATATATAATTCTCAATTACATTGTCATAATGATCAAAAGTTATTGTTGCAGACATAACTAAATAAACAACATCTATCTTTAATTGATTTCAGTACACACATGAAGCAGTAATCTTCAGGAGGCATGAATCCTTGTTTCTTACAGACATCTTCCAGAACCTGCAATTAGAAAACAAAACAAAAAATCTTATATTTCTAATAATCTACATAACTCTTACTGATTTTAGATTAAATCATCTAATGGTTCTGTGGGATCTATATTCAATTTCAGTGAAATCTTAGTAGATGATATCTTTTCTAGTAGCAAATCAATCATGAAAATATCAACCTGATTAAACAAAAAGTTCAGATATTATAACAGATAGAAATCTCACTAAATTTACATGCCATGATCTGCAAGAATGGTTTTGCTTAATTTGGCTCTTCATAACTTTGATATTTTTTAAGAGTGAAACATTTGTATCCTTGTAGTTTTAACATGAAAATAAACCATTTCTTAATTTTTTACCTCTAAACAGTTTGGAAGTTATGAATCTGTGGGTTACTCTATCTGTTTTTTACCAAAAACTCATGAGAGGGCACTCTTGAAGTCTATCTCTCTTCCTCTCAGATGTGGTCAACATCAATAAAGAATTATGCTGGCAAAGATCATTTGTTTCATTCGTCCTCTGTTGACTTTTGAAATGTCTCATCACACACAATTCAATATCATGCACAAGCACATTCTCATAAGTAGTTTCAATGTTTTTCCATTTAATTCAATTGTGTACATATGCAACTCCTTTTCTTAATAACATGCATTGTTGTTTGTTTTATATTCATTGATTTTTTAATCTTATTTTTACCTGGACTCACATGAGTCAAGGATTAGCAGGTATGATATCAATTGTGACCTCTACCTTCAGATTTGGTGTGCACCCATTTCTTTTTGAAGATTTTTATAATACTAAGCAGAATACTAAGAAAAAATGATTTCTGATGAATTGCTGCCTTTAAAACTGAATATGCTTATTTTGGACCATTAATTCTGCTGAAAATCTGAATATTTAATAGTCTGAGACATCTCATGTCAGTCAACAAGAATCATGTTTTTTCTGTTGTGCAATTATGATGAATAGCACAACTATATAAGACTAAAGATTGAGGTTTTTCATCACTTCAGCCCTGAAAAACAACTGAAAAAGTGTCCAAAAACCATAATTATAATAAACTTAGAAATCATTTGGGAAAATGCAAACCTAAAATCCTCAGCAATCCCCAGAAATTTCTTAACTTCATCCAACTACTGAACCATAATATTCATTATGCTCAAGAATTTGGGGTAAGATCCCATTTCAGTCCAATATACAATCAAAAATAAAACAGAATGTACACTGAGAACTCATGGACAATGAAAATCCCTGACCAATTTTATTTGTGCTCGACATATTAGCCAGAACATATTGTCCCACGGAAACATCAAAGATTCAAATACTACTTGAACTTACTTATGAACTTACTGGTAACAAGAATATGACTAAAAGCTAGGGATAAGGCTAAATCTGAAATAGGAAGAGAAACAAGTTATGAATACAATAAAATTGAAAATTCAACTTTAAGCAAACTTGGTCACAATATCTCAAAGCGGAATTCCTATTTTAAGAAGCCCCTCTACCAGTTTGTTTATGTACAATGATTTCTCAATGTGTATGTCATGTTCCACTCCTTGAAAACATCCCACTCGACATCAATATCACATACAACAGTGAATTCAGATTTTAAGATGTGTCTGTCTGGTTTTGCAGGGGTGTTTCCATTTCAAATGAGATAATTTTTGAAGTCTCTGAAAGTATTCCATTATATATATGCCATCACAAGGTTTCTCAGTTCAAGCTGCTAAGTACGATGTGACCACATCATTTTCAGTAAAAAAGGTGACATAATTCATCCCAACCACAATATCATTCTCATCATCCTCAGTAGAAGAAATGGTTTGGAATGAAAGAAGAAATTGTTCTGCATCCTTATTAGAAGGCAATGTAACATATTTGGACATGGGAAAATTGCCTGAAAGAAGTGCCCATAAATTCAGCAGTTGTTCATCATGACTAATGTTGATCCTGAACAAATCCAGGTGTTGAAGGATATCTGATTTGTGAGTATCATGGTAATATGACAACTCAATACAGTCTTTTCAACATTATCATGATTTGCCTTCAGAACATCAAGCTCTTCAACACTGGTTGCTGGCCCATTCCAACTTCTGCAAAATTGAAGACATTTTTGAGTGTATCTTGATTGTTTCTTTTCTTTCTCAGTTTTTTCCATGATTTTCAATTCGTGGAGTTCTTTCTGGTCAGCTACCCACTCATTTTCCATGCTGTTCAAAAGATTAACAAGTGAAATGAAACTTTTGGCTAGTACATTGTGGAATGTCTGTGACTGATACAGAGTTATATCATTCCGGATTCCTTTTGCTGTGAATTTCTTGTCACGTAACTTAGCTACTGGTGCTCTTTTCCCAAACGCAGAGAGGTGACGTTCTGAATCAAGGTTATTTGTTACCAAAACAGCTCGATCCTCTTTTGTCAAGAGATGTAATTGAGTTGCACAAGCATGTTTATCTGTGCAGTCACCAAAGCCATATTCCAATCTGATCACTGATTGTATTCCCATTCAACATCATCTTCCAACTTCCTGTTTTCACCTAATTTTTCAAAACTTTCCTGTTTGGACGTAACATGCTCATAAAACTTTTCCTGTTTTAAAGCCCTCTAAATTTTGGTCTCCAAAATGTAACATATCCAATTTTAATTCTGACACATTAGAAGGATAAGGTTAGTTGGTTGTTTTGTTTTATGACATATCAAAACCTCAGTGGGTCTTTTAATGCCAACAAAATCTTTGAAATAGATTCATAGTGATAGTTTGGAAAAAAAGGTGTGTGTGTGTGTGTATATATATATATATATATATATATATATATATATATATATATATATATATATATATATTTGAAACCATTTTTCAATTACTCATATTTTTGAGTACAATCCAACTTCTTAAGAATGTATAGCTATTTGTATTAATGGTATTTTTTTTTTTTTTTTTAAGTATTGCTGATAATAATTTTTCCTTCAAAAATTATTGCTAGTAATAATTTTTTATCACAAAGTATTTCTGGTATTAAAACCTATTTTTACACAAGTTTGGATGTTAACTATTTGCCTATAGCTGGGACCCTAACAGGTGCTACCACCCCTGATTAGGGTGAACCTGGGAAAACAAGAAATTAAGAGGTGGTTCTATGCTCCTCAAAACCTCCTAGTCAGAGGCCTTGCTGTTGGACATAGTTTATCTTCTTACCCAGGACACTTTGTTCTGAAATGATTTTGTGCCTTCCTTACACATTGTGTGACCTAAATATTATAATCCCTGTTTAAGGAACTGACACTTGGCACCATTTAATTTCAAATTATATTCAATAAAACAAGCAAACACTGCCTTTAAGGTCTGGATTAAGTATGAATCATTATCAAATTTTCTTCTCATAAGTCACAACAATTTACTTACATTCAAGGAAAGTTATGTTCTTGTATCACTATTTTTTTCTGGCTTCACTAAGGGCCAAAATCACATTCTAGGGCAGCAATTTGTTAACAATGCATTAGATTGAAACATCTTTTCAGATTTAGATTTCCTTTAGTATTATGTTTGAAAAAAAATGAGTATGTGCATATATATATCTAAAGCAAGAAATCCATATTAGATCGAATTTAAAAGTTCTTGTTTATACATATTTCTTAATATTAACTTAGTGCTCAGGCTCCCTCATAATGGAACAGACTCCCAAGAGGATGCTTCCCCAATTACTTTAATCTTAACCTCTTCATGTCTAAGGTCTACTGTTATCTATCCTACATATCCTCATAATATACACCTTTTGCGCTTTGCTTATACACCCTTACAACAACCTCATTTATCAATCCTCTACTTTGAGTGGTTCTTGGGTCTTGTATTGGGTGAACTCGTGAACAATAGTAAAAATAAATAGTGCTGAAATCAGGTCAAAATAACCAGTTTTTGGACACTGTTGTGTTAAATAAAATTTTAGAATTATTTTTAAAAAGTTACCATAAATTTATCTTAAAACGTTAAATATTCACTATCTTTTTAGGCCTGTTCACTTCACATAAGCTATAATTCTCTATCAGTTAGGGAAGACTGACTCCAAATGTGAAAATAAGTCAAACAAAACAGATTTATTTATTATTTACATTTCAACTGCTTCTTAAACTTAAGAGTGGCCTTAGAACTTATGAGTTTTAAGTTAAAAAAAAAAAAAACCACATGCTTTCAAAGTGAAAATTTTCCTTAGCAAAAAAACAAACTGAATTCAATATTTATTCGAGATTTTGGAAAAAGCAAATGAAAAAGAAAAGTTTCATAATATTCAGTTAAAAATAAAATTAAAAATGTCTTACAAATAACAAATCAATAAAAATTATTTTATTTTTGTTTTGTATATTTCTTGATAGTTTTCTTTTTTTTTTTATGAATGAAAACATTTCAGAAACTTACCCATACAATATTCCGCGAGATATGTAATTTTAATTAAAAAATAAAACAGACATTTGTTTGAAGAGCAAAATTTGTCTCTAAATTTACATAACATAAAAACGCTTTTTCTTTTCAACATCACTTCTTGGTTCTTGCTAATTTCATTTTAATTAAAAAGCTGTAGTGTAAATTTTCGAAATTAAATTTGTTAGAGTTATATTAGTTAGTATTTTTATTATTTTAAGGCATTCGGTAAACAATTTTTTTTTTTTTTTTTTTAAACAAAAAAATAAAGACTTCAGCTTCAAGTTAAAATAAAAATAAAACAAAATTACCAATTTTACTTTTCAAAGCTAGTAAACAACAACAAAATGAGTCAAACTAAATTACTCGCTCCTCGCCTTTTGAACAAAACAAATGGAAGCGCTTCAAGACGTTTTTAAAGTAATTATAAAGTTTAAAATATTTTTTACTACTTTTTAATTTCCTTTAAACTTAAAAATTATGACCATAACAAAATTTAAAGAATGCCGGCTTTTAATGTTTTGATTTTTTTTATTTATATCAAAGCTTAATGACTTAGCAGTAAAAGTTGTAACGACTCTGCGAAAGATTAGTTTTAAAAATGAACTCAGCTTGCAATAAATATTTGTCAAGAAAAACATCTAAAAGGCCAAAAAAAAAAAAAAAACTAAAGTAAAACAAACCTGTAATAAAGTGGAATTAAGATTCGACACGACGTTTTGCCGTCTACCATTAGGACAAAGTATCTGCGTACTGAACGCCATGTTTTTGAATGAAGACGGTGCTGCAAATTTTAATTTCCTTAGTAAAAATACCCCTGCCATTTTTTGCTGTTTGACTTAAAATCATCGTTTTTCTAACACAGCAACTACAGCCTACTTTAAATTAAAATTACTGTATTATTATGTGTTTGATACGCCTAACGCAAAAAAAATATGTTTAATATTTTTTACTCATATTTCTAACGAGGTTTCATAAAAAATAATGTCTGTTTTTCAATTACAACAAATTTAATAGTAGAAGCATACAAAGTATACAAAAATGAATACAAAAGCCTCAGTATTCCAATATAGCCTCTTTGAATGAGAATATGTTCACTCACCTTGTGAAAAACTACTCTTATCATCACTGTAAAGAATTACTGTCATTTAAGCTCTATCCATATTGGGCAACTCTAGAAGTTCTTGGGTAACAACTACACTATACCCTTTTATGAAGTCTGTCGGCATTCTTGGAAACTACTTTGCATATAACTTTCAGTAGCCAAGAGACTACATTGAAATGCAAGCTCACCTGAAAGCTTTCACAGAGTTTTGCAATAATTCTTCATTCAGCCTGTCTGATATTTTGTTCATTCGCAACAACAGCTGACCTGCCACTGTGACACCTGTTACTAAAGTTAAGTTTTCCTTTTTCCTTGCCATTAACTCTACTGACCCATCTCCTTACTGTAGTTGCATCAAGTGCATACTTTCTAGAAGCATTCACTAAACTCCTGTAAATTTTTACTAAGCTTTTTCCTCCCAATCACAGAAATTCTGACAACTTTTTGCTTCTCATATGTGTCCAGATGGGTAGCTATTTTGAAACAGGATTATGGGTAGGAAAAGAAATAGTAACTCCACAACTTTGTTCTCTTAAGTTTCTAAAGACTCTATGGTTCATACAATTACTTTAGTATTTTCTTAAAAATAAAAAATATTATAATTGTCATTAAAACAGAGATATTTTATCGAAAAACAAGGAAAAAAGAAAGAAAAGAGTATAATTACTGTAAACAGAAAGAAAGAAAGAAAGAAAGAAAGAAAGAAAGAAAGAAAGAAGCTGTCAGGTTTTCCATCATCACTCTGCACAGCAGTGGCAGACTGGTCCAGGTGTCAGCTTGCCTTATGACAAGTGAGGACTTGATGGAGTGGAACCCCTGTACCAAATAAAAATGCAATAAAGAAACACAGACAACTGTTTTAGTAATAAAAAGAAATAAGAACTTTATAAAGTCATCTGCACACTATCAATTACTCAAGTCCAATATGAGAGGACATTTTCAAAGTTAAAGATCATAAAGACAAGATTAAAAATTTGCTGTTTAAGGAGAATCTGGAATCATACAGATTGCTATGCATTGAAAAGGAATTGTTAGATGAACTGGATACAGAGGCAATTATTGACAGATTCAAGCAATCATCTAGTAAACACAAACAATTACTCAATATAGTGAACTGCATGCAATGCTCTGTTGTGCTTTTGAACTATCTTAATGTGTAAATTGTGCAGTAAACCATTTAAAAATATCACCCAATTACATTAAATTAAAAAAATAAATACAAAATTCAATTATAACATTCTGTATTTACATTTGTTATCTACTGCCATCAGGGCTGGTGCAAAGGTCTCATATCCTCATCTGAATTTACAATACAGCCCCACCCCACAGAATTTATGATACAGGTCCCCCACTCTACTACATCTCAATTTTCATAAGGTACTTTTCATATAAAATACAAATTTTATTGTAACCTAATTATGTACAATAATGGATCATATGCAATATAGGGGAACAATTCAACTAGAAAAAGTGAAAATAAATACAATGTATCGAAATACAAGTTAGAGACATAGATTATTCCATCTTAAATAAATCAACAATGTTTTGCAGTAATTTTTAACATCAACTTGAGATTTTTCTTGTTAAAAAGTTGAAGACTTTTAACACATTCATTGATAAAAAAATAGTGAATTCAATATAGTTTTTTTTTTTTAAAACTTGGCAGGAGCAAAACAAATTCACAGATTCAGATTAAAAAAAAATACCCCAGAATGACATGAAAATCTGCTAAAATTTTTCATCTTTTAATAGTCAGTTGTGCTTAGTTTAATTTGTAATGTATATAAATGTAGTAAGAAAAAAATCAAATGTTGATAAGATAGCGAAGGTCACAAAACACTGCCTGAGGCCCCCAAATATGCTTGACCACAAACTTAAAACAGACATGCACAACAACTAAAAATGTGAGCATGATTCTGCTTATATAAGTAAAACAATTAAAAGGTTGGAAAAGGGAATAAATCAACATATGATAGCTTGTATTTTTAAGGGTCATTATCATAATTTACATAGGTGTATGAATACATCTAGGTCTACGATAACAGAACATCTAATAAATACTTGTCAGTGTGCTATATCCTATCATGTGGATAGGTTTTCACTTTCATTTGAAAGTTTTATAGGCCATATATTTACAGCCTTCTCTCTGTAAACAGGAGTGGCTTTTGGTTTTAAATGTGATTTTCTTATATGTTCATATGTATATATTGGTATATTATTAATATATGTGTATATCCTATTGTCGTTATTTTTTTCTCCTTTTTTAGTTGCTGTGCACATCTGTTTTAAGTTCTTGATTGAGCTCTGAATATTAAAGGACAACATTGGTTAACTTCTTTCTTTTCTTCTCCACTTTCATATTCTTTTTGATTTGTTATAACTTTTTCTTACTTTTTGTTTTTTTCCTTGCTATTCGATAAAAATATGTCTGTTTTAATGGCCATAAAATATCACTTTCAAATTAAATTAGAATAGACCAACCATTGTATTTCTTTTATTCTAAGATTTTATCACAATTCCCAAATCATTACTATGAGATCATTGGGCTCATCTCTTATTTCAATCCTACACAGTGATTGTAGATTGGTTGGTTGATTTTGTTTAGCAGCATATCAACACCTGTATGAGTTATTTAATGTCAAAATCTAAATATTTTGTGTGTAATTTTATGCTTTCAACTACAGATATTTTGTACATCATTTTATACTTTCAGAGTAAAGGTATGTTTATTTATATATATTTTATAGATCATAAAATGTATTGTTGGTCATTTTATTATAAAAATGTCCTGTTGAGTTTTGTTTGGGGGGGTCACTATTTATCCATAGCTGGGACCCTAACATGTGCTACCACCCAGTTCAGGGCAGACCTGAGAATAACAGCAGTTAAGAGATGGTTTCATGCTCTTCAAAACAACAATAATTGTAGATAAACAATCTGGGAGTTATCATAAAAATCAACAGAAACGCAATGAAATAGTTACCTTTTAAAAAATTAAACAATGTTTCATCAAAAAAATATAGGTACTATTCCATCTCATAATTGTAGTTTTAATTTTATTTTACTTTATAAAACTGAAAAAAAAATCACCAAATCCATGCTCTTAACTCTAATCTACAGCCAGTGTCCATTGCATTTAATCATTATAATAAATATTATTTTAAAGGTCACAAAATGACATATTTTCTTTTTGTTAAAATAATGGATTTTTAATAAAGTTCAGATGCATAAAAAGTCAGTAACAATGTAAGGTATGTCACATTCAATACACATTCAATAAGTTTAATTTAAATTAGGTTATATTTGCTATGTCAACGTAGACAAAGAATTTTAACAAGCACTGCTGCAACTACTGTAGTGTCTTTCTGTAAAATTACAATTTTTAACTTTAGAACAGTTTTGTCATGATTGATGAATTTTATGTTCAACGTTTTCATATTGAATTGAACAATATATTAAGCTGAGTCATAAGTAATTTCCGTTTTTGTTTATAAACTTTATTCTTAAAAAAATGAAGTACAATTACATTTTATTCAATTATATATTCACTATTATTTGCAATGACTTTTTACTACCTATCAGGCAGTTCTTCAATACTGGTCGAGTAAAATTCCACAGGTTTTGATGTGAAAAAGTTCTTGAATCAGGTTTTCATTAGTGAATATTTTCTTCTTCACAGCATTTTGATGTGATCAAAAAATGTAATAATCATTTGGTGCAAGATCAAGTAAACATGGTGGGTAAAGTAGAACAGACCAACCAAGTTCCAAAATATTTTTTGTGCTATTCTTGCTATATGTGGCCTTGCATTGTCACAGGAGAACATTTTTCCTTAAATCCACTGTGTACGCTGCCATGCAAAAACTGATGATTGTATGCTCCAAATTTACTCTTAACAGCCATGCATGATTAGTAGTTAGGATGATACATTCATCATTACAACTGGATCCCAAAAAAGAGAAGTTACTTATGACTACTTAATATCTTTACTTCTATACCAGCAGGCTCAAACTTAAGGTCTATTGTGTTGTGGGAAAGGTGCAGCAGATCCAGTGAACAGGTTCCCAAGCAGGGGATCCATGGATCCACAAAGCTGAATTAAATCAGTTTAATAATTTTGAGTAATAAGAATTGGGAGAGATAAACATGGAGAGACAGGGCTAATTGGCCAGTTTAAGCATGTATTTTACCTATTCAGGTTGATTAATTGCTTCTCTTTTTTTGCAAAATTTCCAAGTAATATTTAAAAGAATTACCAGTTCTCACTATGGGACAATCCTGTATTTTATGGGACTTTGCCAACTTAGTTACTTCTGTCACAAAATACAAGTTAGGTTCTCTTTGACAATTTTATTGGACTTTGACATTTTTTTTTTTTTTTTTGCAAAATATGTAGTTGGCCAAAAATACTTCTTTCAACCATGAAATTTCAGTTTATTCCTTTTCTCAATATGAAAAAAAATCCTTGCTTTCTATTGCAAGTGTAGTCTGTCATTTCAGCTCTAACTCTGCTTCAATACATGTAACCAAATTTATCCCTTCTCTCTTTTTTATGAAAAAAAAAAATTCCATTTCATACTTGCCTGTGAGTTATGACACCTTGGCCATAAACAATACATATTTTTGTAGATGTCTGTATAGTGTTATTTCATTGCTTGAATCCCAATAATAATATTTGATATAAATGCACTTTCAAGCCTTCTATTAGAGAGGTTAAGAAATTTATTATTTAATACACTATGTGCAGAAACTGTTGGCACATTCCAAATTTATTGCTAACTGCCCTTATGATTAGTAGTTAGGATGATACATTCATCATTACAATTCGATCCTAAAAAGGGAAGTTACTTATGACTTTAATAAATAAACAATTAACCAACAGTAATAGCTGTTATCTCAGGCTTTGTGGAATGAGATTCAGGTCAACATAATTACATGCAGCAACAGGAGATTTTATGGCGACTAGCAGTTAGAAAAAAATTTTGATTTATGTGTAAATTTAATGTGTCACACAGGCTGATTTTCTAGGCTATCAAAAAAAAAAAAAAACGGAAAATGTCTGATTGGTTAGAAATTGATATTTTGTATTTATTCAAAAGTTTTAATTTATTCTTGCAGTGTGTTGGTTCCTATGCAAAGCAACCAAATTTTTTTTTTTTTAGGTCTGCATTTAAGGTTTTCAAATCTGGTTGTTGCTTAAGCTATGCTGCTAGTTTTGCATTATGCATGGCTGGCTCAAGGTACTGGCAACTCAGGCAGTTATCATGTCACCATGTTGTGTGTTTGGGATCATACTTGCAGTCATCCATGTTTAAATTCTTTGGCTATTTTGTCAATAGAAAATAATCTTGTAAAAAAGATAGATATAGAAAGTACCATGAAAAGATTTGCAGATCTAAAGGCAAGAAAAATGTTTTAGGTAGGATAATGGTTGTATTCTTTTGCTTATATTAAGATGTATATTGTAATAAACTTGTTTTTCTACATTTTCAGTTTTTCACCTTGTAAAAATTTAAAAATATATATACATATAAGGGCACCAAACTTCAGTAGCCTGGGTGCCAGTAACCCTATGGCTGGCCCTGTATATACAGGGTGTGATGGGTAAATTTTCATCATTTTATATTTTTAATTTCACACATGCATGTTTTTTTTGTTTTTTTTTTTATTTTGTCAACTGCACAGTATAGTGGGGTCAGTTGGGAACTGTCTGTGAGAAAACATTACCATGATACAATTCAC